TGTAATGACGTGGCGAATTGACATTGTGTAGGGGTGATCCTGTGGGTAGTATGGTGAGATCTCTGGACGTTTTTAGCCTCAGTGTAGGAGAGCTACTTTTATATATATATATATATATATATATATATATATATATATATATATATATATATATATATATATATTATTAGCAAAGTTAATTAAAAAAAATTATTATTAACTCATATTACCAACAAATACACTAAATTAAGCCAAAATGAACTTAAAAAAAAAACCATAAATAGAGCTTTCTCATCTTCGACCGAGCAAACCCCAACAATGGCAGTAAATTTGGATGCCTCTATTTCTTCAAGATCTCAGCCCAGTTAGTATTATTCATAGCGTCTTTTCTTCCATTCCATATGTGTATCATGTGGCAGAATCAAAGGGGGCCTCAGCAAGCCTTTCAGCCACTTCTGCCGCTTCCATTTGTGTATCATGTGGCAGAATCGCCGATCTCCGCCTACATGCGGTTCCTGCACCTGTATTTGGCCGGTTAATCAATTTTGGGATATCACTAGCTTTGGATGGAGAAATGGAGAGAGGATTGTGACGGGTGCGATGTGGGGAGGTGTTTGGAAGGGAGAGAAACGTTGGTTAGGGCTGGTACAAATTTTGTAAATACATTTAAGGGCAAATAAGTAAATTCACATAAAAGTTAACGGTGTTAGTGTTCTGAAGTTGACCAAAAATAACATGGGGCGTTTTGTTATGTTTTGTAGTTCAAGAGGGTATTTGAGACAACCCACATAGTTCAGGGGTCCAAACTGTACTTTCCCCTTTTTTAAATCTTATATATTAAGATTTATAATCCAAATATATAGATTATGAAGATTTAAAAAATCGAATTTCTATCTTTATCCTTAAGATTTGAGATATATTGATGAAAAATAGGAAACTGATAATAGTTGAAAATTAGTTGAGAAAAAATATTAAAAATATATAATTACAGAAGTACCATTAGAGTAGGATTCTTCACTGTTTAGTTTCAATTTTGATGATTGTTAAAAATTGTATTTAGAAATTAGTAGAGAAAAAATATTATCTTATATATAAAAGAAAGAAACGCTGGGCAACCCTAAGAAACCCTAATGTCATTTTTGTAATTATTTATTTTTAATATTTTTTTTACTAATTTTCTAATTATATTTTCAACAATTATCAAAACTAACACTGAACCGTGAATAATCGTCCTGGTTTCAATCTCCTATTTTTCATCAATATATGTATATCTCAAATCTTAAGAAATAAAAAAAAAATCGACTTGTTAAATTGATCATTTTTTTTCACTTTTAAAATCCGATCCCGTGCATCGCACGGGAAGAAAATG